CAACCTCTAAACTCTTTCAACAAACCAATGCTTTTTCCTCTGGGGTTGGTTGTAGCTCTAACGTTGGATTAAGCATTGTCATTCTCCCATTAGCCACATTTGTCTCGATTCCTCGCCTGTTGGGAACCCCTTTTTTAAAGATGCAACGGGTAAAGTTAAAGCTTTAACTATGTCCAACGACAGTAAAAGAAATGGGTGTGTTCAACCAATTTGGACTTTCTAAAGGTAATTTTCCTAGATCTTCAGTTATAGTAGCAAAACTGATTTTTTTCTGCAATGATTAATCTGGGTGTCAGAAACATTCCTGAAAGAAGTTGTTCCATTTTAAGATCATATCATTAATCGATCATCTGCTGCAAATGTACAGGTGCTGGTCATAAAATTAGAATATCATGAAAAAGTAGATTGATTTCAGTAATTCCATTTAAAAAGTGAAACTTGTATATTATATTCATACATTACATACAAACTCATATATTTCAGATGTTTATTTTGTTTAATTTTGATGATTACAAATGACAACAAATGAAAATCTCAAATTCATCATATCAGAAAATTAGAATATTGTGAAAAGGTTCAAAATTGATGGCCCCTGGTGCCACACTCTAATCAGCTAATTAACTCAAACCACCTGCAAAAGCCTTTAAATGGTCTTTCAGTCTAGTTCTATAGGCTACACAATCATGGGGAAGACTGCTGACTTGACAGTTGTCCAAAAGACGACCATCGACACCTTGCACAAGGAGGGCAAGACACAAAAGGTCATCGCTAAAGAGGCTGGCTGTTCACAGAGCTCAGTGTCCAAGCACATTAATAGAGAGGCGAAGGGAAGGAAAAGATGTGGTCGAAAAAAGTGTACAAGCAAGAGAGATAACCACACCCTGGAGAGGATTGTGAAACAAAACCCATTCAAAAATGTGGGGGAGATTCACAAAGAGTGGACTGCAGCTGGAGTGAGTGCTTCAAGAACCACCACACACAGACGTATGAAAGACATGGGTTTCTGCTGTCGCATTCCTTGTGTCAAGCCACTCTTGAACCACAGACAGCGTCAGAAGCGTCTTGCCTGGGCTAAAGAGAAACAGGACTGGACTGCTGGTGAGTGGTCCAAAAGTCATGTTCTCTGATGAAAGTAAATTTTGCATTTCCTTTGGAAATCAAGGTCCCAGAGTCTGGAGGAAAAGAAGAGAGGCACTTCATCCACGTTGCTTGAAGTCCAGTGTAAAGTTTCGACAGTCAGTGATGGTTTGGGGTGCCATGTCATCTGCTGGTGTTGGTCCATTGTGTTTTCTGAGGTCCAGGGTCAACGCAGCCACATACCAGGAAGTTTTAGAGCACTTCATGCTTCCTGCAGCTGACCAACTTTTTGGAGATGCAGATTTCATTTTCCAACAGGACTTGGCACCTGCACACAGTGCCAAAGCTACCAGTACCTGGTTGAAGGACCATGGTATCCCTGTTCTTAATTGGCCAGCAAACTCTCCTGACCTTAACCCCATAGAAAATCTATGGGGTATTGTGAAGAAGAAGATGCAATACACCAGACCCAACAATTCAGAAGAGCTAAAAGCCACTATTAGAGCAACCTGGGCTATCATAACACCTGAGCAGTGCCACAGACTGATCGACTCCATGCCACGCCGCATTGCTGCAGTAATACAGGCCAAAGGAGGCCCAACTAAATACTGAGTGCTGTACATGCTCATACTTTTCATGTTCATACTTTTCAGTTGGCCAACATTTCTATAAATCCTTTGTTTTTATTGGTCTTCAGTAATATTCTAATTTTCTGATATGATGAATTTGAGATTTTCATTTGTTGTCATTTGTAATCATCAAAATTAAACAAAATAAACATCTGAAATATATGAGTTTGTATGTAATGTATGAATATAATATACAAGTTTCACTTTTTAAATGGAATTACTGAAATCAATCTACTTTTTCATGATATTCTAATTTTATGACCAGCACCTGTATTGTTCCACCACATCCCACATGGACTCTATGTTGTGATAAGCTTACATTATAGTTACATTATAGTTACACACAGCCATATAGGAACAGTAAACATGTTGCATGTTTTTCATTGCCCAGACTGATGAGCTGGTTGCAATTGGCTTCAAGAGCCGACAACTTTTGAGCCCAGGGATGGGATTGTTCACACCTAGCTTGTAACAAGTGGTTCTGTGAGCAGCTTCCTTCTCTTACAACAATGCTTTTATGTATACATGACTGATGCACATAGGGTATTTTCATTGTATCAGACCTTTCTTTGTTATTTGAATCAGTGGTTCCCAAACTTTTTTAGACGCCCACCCTTGTGGTCCCAACCAGGTTAGTGCATCCCTGATACCCCGAATTTTTAAAGAGGACACAAAAATGTTTTTAAACAAAACAAAGCTTTTTTTGTTTTGTTTTGTTTGTTTTTTTAGGCAGCATGTTGAATCCTGCTTAAATAACCAGAACACACATTGAGACAAGAACGAAAAAAATTGCAGTTACAATAACATAAACCTGTCATCATAAAACCTTATGGAAATCCTTTGGAAATTAGAACTGTTTTTTTTTTTTTATTTAAATTGTAATAACGTACCAACAGGATCCTGAGGATTTTCATGTGCAGTGAAATAAATAAAGATACACCTGGATCAGTCAAACCTCCACAGAAAACCTTAAATGTCTCTAAAGGGGGATTCAGACTGAATTGGATCATCTAGCTGTGTTTGTTTTCTCACTTTGTTTATTTCATGTATCTGCTCCTCAATCTAAGACTCACAATTTACACCACAAAATAGAAACTTTGATTTGTGTCCTATGATGACAGAGACAAATTTGATATAGAGGTATAGAATAACAAAAACAGAGAGAGAGATGGCCTTGATAAAGCTTTTATTAATCAGATAAATAAGATGTTACTTCCTGATTGTTTCACAGCAGTTACATTCCGGAGCTAGAGATGCCCATGGCAACACATCTCAGCCATTTGACTGATTAAATAGTTTTGATAACAAGCACTTGCATGTGACTACTCACAATTAGCTGCTGAGTGTTTCAAATAGGCAAAGCAAAAAAAGCATTGTATTGTAATGCTATGACGCATTGCTGGTCATTCATGTCTAAAAGCCTCCAGGCATAGCTGGACTAGGCAGTAATAATTTTTGCTTATTCTTTTTGTTTTAAAATTTCAGGGTTCTCAAAATGATCGAGCAAAATGGACGATTATCATTACCTTCCAAAATGTTTGCTCAATAAATACGTTTTATATCCCTAATCAGTGTGTCACTACAATGAGTAACTGTCACCATAAAAAAACTTTCAAGTCATGTACGAATTTTAAACAAAATGGACACCTTTATAGGATCAATTTTACCAATCTTATTGTAATTTATACAAGGTTCCCAAAGTGCTTGATGATATGTTTTTCAGTATCTTATCCGTTTTCTGTTTTCCCTTGATTATCACATGAGAAATTGTCTAAATAAGCCACTTGTTTCCACAACCCTCGAGGACCTCGACCAATGCACACTCTGTTTCCACAGTGTGTATTGGTCACAGCCCAGTTTCCCTGAGAGATGACCTCTTCACGTGGCCCATTTCATTCCAATCCAAGGGTTGGTTTAAGCCATGACTACACTGTCCCCTATTTATTACTACCCCACTGTGCCCTCTCAGAAAGATGAACTGTAGCCTATAGTTGCCTTACACATGATTCCGGATCATAGGCTCATTTTTTATTTATTTATATTTTTTATTTATATTTATAAGACCCTATGAACTGTGAAGAATTGATGTTTGTCCATTGTATATTGTTTTACTTTGCTGGGCAATGATCTTGAGACATATTTGAGTAACCTTTGGTTTCTTGCAAAGTTATTTGATTTCTGTGGGTTAAGGAATGGGGATTCTGTAGGGCTTGTTTTAGCACATCCCAGAAATGCTAAGTTGGATTGAAACCTGGAGTACTTCAGGGTTGCGTCGGAGCCCTGGGCTTGTTATTTTTCACTGCCATCAAGGAAACTAATTAGCTTGGAGGAGTACGCTTATTCTTCATTAATATTTAACAGCTTCTAAAGGGTTCTAAATATGTGACTTCACATAAATGCTGAAAGCAATGTGGGCCATCTGCAGCACACTGTTGCAACAAAATGGACATAGTTCTCCTCTTCAGTATTTTTGACCTCGTGGGTGACTGGGTATGTTCAAACCTTTTACCTTTACTTTTTTTTTAAACTCACTTCATATTATAATTTCAATCCCAGAGTGCATACAATAAAACAGCATGCTCTTTTTTTAGCCAACAAACAGTGCAGCTTCAAGGAAATGATAAGATACTAACATAAAGCATCTGTCTGTGGAGCTTCACATCCAGTTGCGTAGACTGAACTTTTCAAAGCTTGACAATGACCTGGATGACTGAGAATCTTCACAGATATCTCTATGTGGAGTTTGGAGGGGTAAATGATGACTGGATCTCTAGGGTCGGGACCGCAGTTGCAGGAAGTTCATATCTATGAACGGGGAAATGCCACCACCAAGGGATTTATAATTAGGTTGAACTGAAAATCTTTTTTTTTTTTTCTCTCTATCTCTTTAAGTTGTTTTGTTTTTTCCTTTGTCACTGTTGCTTTGACTTGATTTGCTGTGGTCAAGTAATTCAGTACCTCTGTTATGATGCTCCTTTCTCTCTGCAGATAAGTAGTAATTATCTTTCCTGTGCTAAAAAGGCATTGCTTAGTTTCAACCAGTACAGTACCTATGACACATTCCGCTAGCCGTTGCTCTGTAAACAAAGCATCCTCTATCTTGCTATGTGGAGTTTAAGTCATTCTCCAGAGATATCTGCGGGAAACTTGGTCACAATGACTAAAGCAGGGGACTTTGACCATTAAATATTGACTCAAGTAAAGTCACCTGCTTAAAATGGAACCGTTGTGAGAGAACTAATGTGCTTTGTCCTTTGTAAACGGTTTAATATGTATGTCTTTTTTTTTTTAAAGGATTAAAAGAAAAAGATTCATAATGGAGGAGGGCTACGAGCTCGACCTCACCTATATCACAGAGCGGATCATTGCTGTCTCCTTCCCTCGTGGCTGCTCCGAGGAAATCTACTCGCACAACCTAAAGGATGTCACGCGAATGCTCAAGTCTAAGCATGCAGATAATTACCTGGTCAGTGTTGATCCTCTATTTTAGCCTTAAATATTAGAAAAAAGTCATGTAATGTCAAACTCACGTACAGTATTGATTCAATCTAATACTGAAGGGTTTTTATCTCAGATATTAAAATACGAGTAATAAGTTATTAAGCATAAAGTTAAGTATTAAGACTTTATATTTCACTTATGGTTAAATAAAGAAGTAAATGAGTAAATGCTTATTTTTAGTCTGTGGTGTGCTGTTTTTCTTAGATTATTAATCTGTCAGAGAGAAGGCATGACCTTACCAAGATGAACCCAAAGGTAATGGTCTATGGCTGTATTTCTTCTGTTTTATCAAGTTATCTTATCTCATCTACATATTATGTTGAAAACCAAGATAAGTAGTGAAAGAATGTGTTCATCATGATATTTGATTTTCTTTAGACTTTGGACACAGGTTGGCCAGACCTACATGCCCCTCCGCTGGATAAGATCTGCACCATCTGTAAGGCCATGGAGAGCTGGCTGAATGCTGATCCTTTACACGTGGTTGTTATACACTGCAGGGTGAGCGTCAATTCAATGTTTTGGGTATATTCAGGTCTTGCTACCATTGCAATTCCATAAAATATGACAACCAATCTGTTGCCTGATTATATATACATCATGAGGTAACTGTTTAATTTCTAGGAATAATGTGATTTAATGGTGTATGTTAAAAATAAAAGGCTTATAAACCAAATAACCAAGGGTCTGAAAGATAAAGAGATAATGAAGTGAAAACCATGAAAATCACCTTGAAATCTAAAATTTTAATCTAATTAGATAAGAATTTCAACATAAATATATCAAAAATATTTGCTAGGATGATGAGACTGTGATCATTGAAAGTGAACCTAAGATCTTTGTACCTTGATAAAATAGCAAGCTAAGTCTTGAAAACTCTTATACCCCATTTACACTAGCCCTCTGAAACCGATCTATGCCGAGTTCGGAACAAGCTTTGATCAGTTATGCCATTTACACATCACTCTAGCACTGTTCCTTCCCTCCAATTGGCTATTGGCTATTTGATACTGCAGCTCTCAAGGCAGGAATAATGCAAACAAAAATTGAGGCGCCCATAACATTCAGAAACTTATGTTTGTTTATATTAGTGATATTTCGTCATTTGAGGAATGTCAGGCGAAGAAGGCATCCTTCTCGTTCTCGGCATCATCCCAGGACACACTAGGCACTTTTGATGCCATTTATTGTTCATAGAGTGAGAAGAAGTGAACTTTGAATTGCAAAACCGGACATCTTCAAGTTGTTACAACAAGTTGAAGATCGGCGTTGTTTGACAAAGAGGACAGGCTATTTAAGCACTGAATATTTGAGCTTAAAATTAAAATTGTTAACACTTGATGCAACAGTGCCACATATCTGTTAACCCCCCCAAAATGGATATCTAGGGACAAAAAATATTTATTTGTGCAAAAAGAAGATCACAGTACTGGCTTATATATTCCTAAGTGGTATATTCACACGTTAGTGGCATAATTGGGATTATTAAGGCAAAATTTCATGGTTGTTGACTTTTAAGTTCTAGTGTTTTTTTAATTTACTGTTTCTATTTAAGAACCATTGTTATATAATATAGTACCGCAACACAAAATCACACTCAGGCACATTATTGAAAAAACAAAGTCCTGTTTAATTGCCCTAAAAATCTTGGTGACAAAGTAATCTCTTAGTTTTCTTCTCTACTAAAAACTGTTTTTCCATTACAATAATTATTATGCATGGTTTCTACTAATGAAAAAAAAGTTTTCTCTATTTATGTTGTGTTTTCGATCATAGGGTATTTGTTAAAGTCATTGGTGGATGCTGTACAATTTCTTAGCATTTTGTCTTGCAAATCCTTGTGACTAACATTTTCAACTTAAATTAAAATGTTTGGTTGTTTTAAATGTATGTCTTGGTAAGTGAAGTATTCAGCTGAAAACACGAAAATAAAATAATATGCATATTAAAAAGATGGAGCATTTTGTTAAAATATGATATGTTATTTTTCAAACACTTTAAAATAGACTAAAACCACATATGTGCTGAATCATTCTTTGTCATGTCCTGTTTTTGTTTTTTCTTTAGGGTGGCAAGGGTCGAATTGGTGTTGTCATTTCCTCCTTTGTGCATTTCACTGACGTATCCGCCAGGTAACCACAATCAACGTTGTGATTCATGAGCGTTACTATAAATTCCTCCTTTCTTCCCCCTAAGAGTCCAGATTTATCATAACATACATGCCCTCACTCTTTGTGTTAACCGAAGAGCAAGCCATAACAATTCCTACAGACTCATTCTGTTTGGACCAAAAGCGGTGTCATTGCTTAACCACATTTGATTTATCTACCTCCTTTAATTTTGCCCTAAGGTGACTTGGAAAAAAGAACTCAAACAAAAGTTTCCTCTTCTAGAGTCAAAAGAAAACCACATTTGAGCCATGAATCACCCAGGATTGAATTTCATGAATCAGCTCAGAAGCATGTGTTTACCCTGTGATGTCCTTTGGCCAGGGTGTCTGTTTTGAGAAACCCAGACTCAAAAACAAAACCCATGTTGGTTTCTTTTTCAAACTTTGCCAGTAAGAAGCTATCAGAAGGTGAAAGGAGACCTAGCTCTGAAAACATGCCAGATTTTTTCAATATAAAAAAGAAAGATAACACATCAGGATCAAAGCATGTGGAGTATAACTTGTAAAATCAAGTTAAAAACAAAAAACGTTTTACAAAGATAAAAAAATATTATTCTGTTGCATAATTGTCAATACCTTGAAATCTAGCCTTTTTTTGAGTTGGGTATATCTAGGCATTAGTTACCCAAATATGCCATAAATCAGTCAGATTTGGACTTTCTTTAGATCACCTCCAGAAATTGGCTTTAGGTTGGGTCTGGTTGGAGGTTTTCTAAAAACTTAAAGTGTTCTTCTGTTGCTGTTTTATATCACCTGGAGAAAATACTCTGAAAAATTTGCTCATTCCCTGAATTTGGACATTTTTCTACCCTTTTCCTGACTGATCACGTCTAATATTGTGATTCCTGTAATGCTTTGGATACTCTCCATTGCCTGTGGTATGAGGTGTAAGAAAGACATGTCACAAAAAGGCTTCTAAAACAGCTAAACTTAATATGTGGATAATCACAGACAATTTAAATAATGGAAGGAATGTACTAACTGTTATGTAAAAGGTTTGAATGTGGTCATTAAATATTGATATATTTAAAAGCCATTATAGTAATTTAGCACTGTGGCTCCTTTCTGCATATGAAAAAGACTATGTTGAATGAGCAATATGGTAAAGATTTGATAAGCTATGTTTCTAAGCTGTGTTTGTCCCTAATTGGCAGAGAGTAGTTCACTGGGCTGAATGTATCAGACAGAGGAAGTGGAGGGAAAATGGTAAACCAGATTTCGAAAGCAGCAAATTAAGAGGGGAGCAGAGCCAGACAAGCAGGGGTCCACAGAATATGCAATGGGGGACTGTTGGTTTTAGGTCCGTCTGAATAAGCCAAGCTGTGCACACACTCGGGCCTCTCTCTGTCCCACTCTGTTTACTTTAGGCTGACATTCTCTTCCTCTCTGCTGGAATCCTCTGCCTCTCAACTTACTTTCCCTCTTTTTAGACATGTGTATATGTCTGCTGTGCTTTAACTAAAGTTAGGGTTAACACTATCATAATCAATGTAATCATTCTGTTGAGTCATAATTGCCTAAATGTGTAAAGCGAGTCTTTCTGTCTCCATCAAAGTGCTGATCAGGCATTGGACCGCTTTGCCATGAGGAAATACTACGATGATAAGGTCTCAGCTCTGATGACACCTTCGCAGAAAAGGTAAGACCTTTTACACAGCCGTACCCTTCCATTTAGAGGCATACTGTTTGACTTTGCATGCATCTCCTTCCCAACATTTAGGTCTCTGACTTGCTGCACTGCATAGCACACAGTCAATGTTCTGGTGGTTTTCATCTATATTTTTTGCTGAAAGCCTGCCATTGTTTGTTGTTTAAATGAGGAAAGTCTCCCATGGTGACCTGAAGTAATTCTAACCTTGTGTAATTCATCATCGCTGACACTAATACCAAACATCCTTTCAGGTTTTAAGCAAAAACAAAAAAGGAAATTTTGAAATTATCTGAGGAAAAATATGAGAGGAATAATTTCACAGATTTATGTAAAAGCTATTGCTAAAAGTTAAGTATTTCTGTACAGTTTGACACAAAAACGTGTCTTAATTTAGGCATTACCGACTATGCGCAAACTGCCAAGTGCTGTGTGTTTTTGCTTTTTTTTTTTTTAAATCTGTACTGTTTTATGCTTTTTATTATTCTTTTTTTTTGTACAGCAATTTGGTCAGCTGTGGTTGTTTTTAAGTGCTTAGCAAATAAAATAGAACTGGAGTCGGAAGCCATTCCTGACATTAAAGCTGGTTTTAGAAAGGCCCAGTTCCAGATTGTTAACCTACTCATTTTCTGATGGGTGATATTATCTTCAAGGTGTACTGTCTTAAATATTTAGCCTTGTTTATAAATGGTAGAGATTAACCGATTAGCAGGAGATCAAACTCTTATTCAGTGATCGCCCAATCCACGCATATCTCATACAAAAACTTTGAAAACCAACAATTCCTAGAAAATCTTTAAGGTGTTTCACAGAAATTTAAAATACAGCATCAAGTTTAGTATTCATGTCTGAAGTGAGTTAAAGTAATAAAGTGTAACATGTTAATATTTTCATGTTAAATTTGTAAAAGGTATATAAATATAAAACATTAACATGTTAAGTGGGAAGGAGAGAGAGAGAAAGATGCAGATGTATTGTTTTCTGCTGTTTCTATCCATATAATAGTCCTGCTGCACATTTATTTCCACATCTTTGTATTCTTTACAGGTATGTCTGGATCCTCAACAGTTTGCTAAGTGGATCCATGAAGATCAATGCCTCGCCGTTGTTCCTGCACTGCGTCATCCTTCATGGGATCCCAAACTTTGATACCGCCAGCAGAGGTTAAACTCGTAATGTTTACCAAAATACTAAACTACCAGGGTTTTTGGGAAAAGAAAGGGTTAAAGAACAACCACATCAGAGTCGAGTCTTATTTGAACTGTATTCCTCTTTCTTTTTTTTTCTCCCCTGACACTTGCATGTTCAGACACATAGAGGTTGTGTGTTTAAAAAAAAAAAAAAAAGTTATACTCTCCTAAATTCTCAGTTTGCAGCAGAGTACTGGGAATTGTTCCCTTTGGAGGTGCCAGGGTGGAAATTACTGTTTTCACTCATTTCATTGAATCAACAAGAAGTCGTCATCGCATCTCCGCGCAAAAGTCGCTCTCTCACAACAACAGCTTATCACGCTTCAGCCCTCAGCAAAATAAGCTCAGAAGTCATGCCATCAAGGCACCTGGAGAAAAAAAAAACATTAATTGTGGGCTGTTGTCTTTGTGTTTTTAGTGTGTCACCCATACATCAAGGTCTACCAAGGAATGCAAGCAGTGTACTCCTCTGGAGTCTAGTAAGTTTGTTGAACATGTGGCTTATGGTGAACTGAACATTAACTTCAACACATGGTGTTGAGATTCATTTGATACTGATTATGATAGAATTTAAGTAGCAGTTTACTTTGTCAGGCTCACTTTGACTGTATCCTCTATGCTTTCTGTTCAAGTCACATTGGTTCAGGTCACAGGGACCGAGTGTGCATCAATCTGGAGCCAGCCCAGCTCCTGAAAGGGGACATTATGGTAAGGGAAAAAAATAACAACAAAAGAATATGATCCCATGTTCCCAAAGAGGACTCTACTGCCTACTGTGACCATGCTCCTCCCCTGCTTTCCTTCCTAGATAAAATGCTATCATAAAAGTGACATGACCTCTGAGCAAGAGGTGATTTTCCGGCTGCAGTTCCACACGGGAGCAGTACAGGGTTACAACCTGATGTTTGAAAAAGAAGACATGGAGAACGCCAACAAAGGTATACCTGAAAAAGCTCTGAGGCAGGCCTCAACTTGTGGCTCCTGGTAAAGAGCTGCTCCCCAGCTTTGCAAGACTCCTACTAAGCTCAGGCTGGACGCAATCTAGCCTTTTAGGCCACAAATCTGTTTTCCAAGAAATCTTTTGTGTTCTGAAATAATTAATTGATGTTTTCTTGATTATAGATGCCTAACATTTATAGCATTCTGTGCTGTTATTATAGACCCCAGATTCCCAGACTATGGCAAAGTTGAGCTTGTCTTTTCTGAGGGACCAGAAAGAATCCCAGGTGAGTTTTTATTTTCTCATATTTTACAAAAAAATTCAATTAAGATAGACTAGTTAGAAAGGCAGAGAGTGCTTTTTATTTTCCTTTCCGTGCTTCCCACTCGGCCCCCCTGGTGAGAGGGGATGTGGAATGCAACAGAGGGGAAATGTAGTGTGAAGTGTGTGCTGACAGAGGGGTAAAGAAACCCAGCATGTGCTCCCCCAGAACCTCACTTGAGTGAAACTATTTAGGTCTGTATCTTTAACTCTGTGTTATTTATGCAATTGTGTATTTTTGTCAATATGATGGTCTCCCACCTTCTGGTTTACTGTTGATATTCTATTTTGTTTGTTTGTTTATGGATCAGGTCTAGTGAGGGAATTTTTTTTTTTTTTTGAGATAATTCATTTAGATATTTTTGTGAAGTAAAAGTGTTACCTAAATCCTTATGCCGCCTTTGTTTCCTTAAAAAATGTAAGCCTGTTTGAAGTCCCAACCTCTTTTATGGTGCTTTTACACCGAACACGTTTTGGGCATCAAAAATGTTTAAACGCCGAAACTTGGATGCTGGGTCAAATGCTGGTCAAGGTGGTTTGATATTCTGTATGCTCTTTGCTCTGCTTGTTTAGCTGCTCTGTTCTGTTGCAACAAACTAGAGAGCTGCTTTGCTTTATTGCTTTTGGAATAAGAGTTTTAGTTTTTTAAGTGAGAAAATCCACCTCAAAACATCATCTTTGCAGTCAGTTCATCAGGATTATGATCCTACTGAAAGATTGCAGTTCCTGTTCGGATCCCATGCATACCAGGGGGCGGCAGTGCTGTGAATCTCCAGTAAAAGCTCTCTGAAGCTGGAGAGCTTTTGAAGGTTTCCTTCTGCTGTTTGGAGAGGCTGGAAGTGAATATGAAGTCTTTAAGGTCTGTAGTAAAAACTGCAAGTACCGGAAAATACACTTGAATATTTTTCACTGGCAGGAAATAACATTGTTAGTTAATTTACGTATCTATAAACTGTTTTCGCCACAGTTAATTAATAAAAATGTTTTGTGCAGTAAGAATGATCAGAGCTCGTTCTCTGTTTATTGTACAATTCATTCTCCAGGCTTTTTTTAAAACCTACAGAAGAAATCATAACTTAAGTATAGTGTCTTTCCCCCCAAACAGCTGCTGGAGTAGCTTTTCTGATTTGTGGATGCTCGACATCGAGCTGTAAAAGTTCTGATTTTTTAACTCCGTCTTGAACGCTCCGAAGCCGAGACGCCAGAATGCTCTGACACCCAGACGCCCTGATACATGTCGCCGATGTTCAGACCTGCTGCAGGACCTCTCGATGCTGCCTGATGCCATCTCCCATAGACTTTGCATGTAAATCAGATGCTTTGATGCCCATAACATGTTCAGTGTGAACGCACCTTTAGTCTTTGGCTGGAAAGATGTTTGTCAAACAACATATTTCTATCCAGCTGATACATTTAAATTCAATGCCTTGCAGAGGCACCTCTTTAAGTCACTTTTATAAAATTAAGATAAATAAAATCTTTGCATTTTATAGATTTTTGCTTTTTTAATGTGAAAACAGATGTCCCTTTGTCTAATGGTATTATATGGTCTTTTTATGTCTTATTTAATGCTTCGATAAAGGCCTTACAGGTTTATTAGAGGAAATTATTAAGCAACAGCTTCATGAAGACTAAGGGATGCAGTAGAGAGGAGTTTAAAGCTAAAAGTTGGGCAATATTTAAACTTTGATCATCTGATCTAACACTTCAAACCATTATCCAGAATAGAAAGTTTGCACAAATGTAAAAACCTAACCATACAGACTAAAGAAGGAAAGTCACAGATATAAGAAATAATGTCCAAAGATCCAGGGAAACTGCAGAGTAACAGACAATATCCTTAACTCACCAAGGGGAATATGTTATCACTAGTGGATTTACACCAGGTACATTCTGCTTTATGGATAGGTGGTGTGATAAAAGCCATTGTTGAAAGAAAGCCACAAGAAGTTGCCCAAGTTATTAGTGTAAACAGCAATATGTGCAACAAGGTGCTCAGATGAGATTCGGTTTGAAATGTCTTAGCCTACATAGAAAAATGCAACTTTGTATGAGGCGAAAACTCCCACTTCATGTCACCCTAAGAACCCACCATCCTCACTTTAAAATGTGGTGGCTGCTTTATGCTGCAGGAATACTTCTATTCAACAGACAGTGAGCCCACTTATTAAGAAGTAGGGGGTGGGGGGGGGTCTGGCTATTTGTAAAGCTGTGTGAAACCCTGTATCTTTATACTCTGTCTATCATGCATTTTGTTTTTGCACATCTCAACAAATTAAATTGAAGCTTTTAGCTTTAACTTTTTATCAGTTTGATTCCAACCCAAGGTGGTAAATTCCAAATCTTGGAATATAGTCATATATATAGCTCCTGTCTTCCTGTTCCACATTGTTGGACTTCTGTTCTAAAAATTACTGATAGATATTAGTTTTCTGTATAGATGTAAGGTGTCTTATAAATCTTAAAGAGCTTTTTAAGGGTTTACAAGAATGTGGATTTCCTTTTCAGGTGCTGACAGGTGGCAAAATGGGCCAGATATTACTGTGGATTACAACATGGCAGTTTCTCTTAGCCGCTGGGACTCGTACAAGAACATCTGTGATGGTGAAGGTACAGACACTGTGCTGCTTTAGCAATATCTGTAGACATTGTTATCTTATCTCTGAGATTAAGATGGTGAATCATGCACTAAGCACAAACATTACTAGAAGTTCTTTGTATTGGTATAGAGAGAACTACAGGCAGGCAAACCAGATGTCGTTACTCATCCCACATTTTTCCATTCTGTCTCCGTGTCCCACAAATTGAAACGATGTCCCGGATTTTACTGGGTCAAATTCAGAAAAGTCAAAACTAATATTCATCGGGCACTTTTTATGACTGTAAAGAAAGCAGAGATGCATGATTGCCATAGAGCTGCTGTCGATCAAAATACAATACGCATGATGCTCTTAAAATTTCTTAATCTTAAGAAAAAAAAGGGACTTTGTTTAAAGAAAAGAAAATGCAGCCACAAAATAAGACTGTGGAATAGTTTATAACTGGGCGAGGCCAGTAAAAAATGAAAGTTATTCTGAGAGTTTTTTTGTGAAGTTTGCAGAAGTTATTTTTATATTTCATGTAGAGGGGGGTGTGATATAAATTGGCTCTGTAAAAGTGAGCAACACCAGAAATTCAGAGCTGAAAAAGCTGTGTCTCTCCTGCATTTGTTTTTCTTTGTTTTGTTCTTAGAGCTTGTCCAAATTCCGCGTTTACCTAAAAGTATTTTCCTCCTTTTTCGTTTTAATAACAAAAACAAAGTGGAACACTCTTTCTCCCACATGGGCCTTAAAATAACATCTCATGTCCGTTACCCTGTGCTTTTTAAGACCAGCAGGGTGGTTCCATTAACATTCACACCAGTTGAACTAACTTGGTATAAGTTGGAGCTGATTTTAAACAGACATTTTTTTCATGGAGCTTAAAACTTCTGCTCTCAGGCAGGCATGGTAACCTTTTATAAAGTGGAGAGAAGAATAGGTAGGGGCCAAAACGGCACAATGGCATTCAGTGTGATGAGAATAGCAAAAGTGTTGTTTTACTTTAAAGCTGGGTTCAGAGGAAGAGCAGTTCTCAGGAGATTTCCTCTTTGTTGACTCTTCAAGTGAATAGGCATGCCACACACATACAAACTCTCAGTCCAGCACACCCATATAAATGTGGGTGTATATATATTTATATACATATAAGTACTTAAAGAGCCACCCTGTTGGAGTGTCTTGTCCCAGCTGTGGTTGTCGTTCTTCACCGAACCACAGCATTCTCAGCAACCTCTCAGAATAGATCGAAGTTGTAGCGACATTAAAACCAAAATCCACCCTTTCCCAGTGTTCATTGGATGTTTTTATAAGCCAAGCTCGACTTGATGAAAACAATCTGCCTTTTTTTATTTTCGCTTTAAACACCCCAATACGTCCACACACTGTTTTAACGCCAGCTTCTGGGACTGCAATGAAAACATAACCACACAAATTTAAGATTTCATCAAAGGGAAGCAAGAGGCATCAACTGGAGAGCTTTTCTTTATCCCAGCCTTGATTCCAGAGCATTCATGTGGGATGTTTACTGCTTTGTTTTCGCATGTAAACTCTAACATATGAGAGGAAGGACCGAGAACTTTCCTGAAATTCTGCATCTACTTACCAGAAGTGCTCACACTGAACCAGCTTGCCTTAAAGACAGTAGCAACTAGTGACTTGTCTGGGGGAGGAAGCCTGGAAGCTGTTTGACACCTTAGTGATAAGGTTGTGAGAGAAAATGTTATTTACCTCACTGGCTCCGTTTTAATTGCTAGAGTGTGTTTGCTGCAAAGTGAGAATTAAGACAAAGGTTGTTTAGTTTGGTTTATTTTTGAACTTGGTTGCCGTCTTTGCTTTGCATCACTTTAGATCCTGCCTCTACTTTTTTTATACCTTACATATAAAATCAGATTTGATTTAAAAATGTATATGGGAAGACAGATCAGTTTTCTGACCTGTCTCAAATCTTTAAAAAAGCATTGTCTGTCGGTTTATACGCTGCTCAAAAAATAAAGGGAACACAAACAACACAATCTAAGTCATGTAATTTTAAATTATGTTGTGCAAATGAAACAGACAACAGGTGGAAATTAGTGCCTATTGGCAATGAGAAAGAGACACCCAATAAAGGAGTGGTTCTACAGGTGGGGACCACAGACCACTTCTCAGTACCTATTCTTATCACTTTTGAATGTCACTTTTGAATGTTGGTGGTGCTTTCGCACTCATGGTATAATGAGACACACACAAAGGTAGGGCTCAGGTAGTGGAGTTCATTCTCACACATGGGCTATCACACATGAGCCCTTGTGATCCTCAGACCTTTTGTAAGAACATATGCTGGTGCGGTTGGCCTTCTAATGCAGGACAACGCTAGACCTGTAGTGGCTGCAATGTTACAGCAGTTCTGGGACATCATGTCTCGATCCATCCACCAACGTCACGTTGCACCATAGACTGTCCAGAAGTTGCCAGATGCTTTAGTCCAGGTTTAGGAGGAGATCCCCTCAGGATAGCATCCGCCACCTCATTAGGCCTGTAGTGTTTCCAGGCCTCCATTGGTTAATATATTTGACTTTCTATGTGTTCATCACTTACAAAGTACAATTTATTTATTTTCTATTCTAAGATAAAACAACTCTTAATTGCACTTGTAAAGTAGAGGTACCAGGACATATCAGTAGGAGGATTGCTAATGCAAAATGCAATGCAATCTATAATCATTACCTCCCAAAGACAGAAACAGACTGTTCATAGTCATTGTCCATTCAGTCTGACAGATCTTGCATTTTTACAAAGAAACCAAGTTCTGTTTATGTGGGCTGCATAGTAATGGAGCAATGTGAGAAGACAATATTGTTGTTTAATTTTGCAGATGACAGCATTAATTGTGATTAATTATTTTCTTTGCGAAATTATTATTACTCAGACTCTGAATGTGATATCAAACAGTGTGATTATGATTTGATAATATTGCAGTCACATGTAGACAACATTATAAATGAGCCCTCACACCCCCACCATGGACTGTTCTCCCTGCTGCCTTCTGGGAAGAAGCTTCAAAGCATCTGATGCAGGTCCAGCAGATTCCAGAACAGTTTCTTCCCCACCACCATTAGACTGCTGAATGTTGTATAAAATGGGGTTTAAAAAAAAATACGTTGAATGTTGGAAACTGTAAATCTTATGACAGTCTTATATTTACATTTTATCACTGCTGCTTAAATTTGATCACTTCTGCCCTTTAAAAACGGAAATGTCTTGAGAGCTGTACTGAAAGAAATTTATTTTTGTATACACTCTGTGTACAAAATGACAAAGTCTCTCTAAGTCTAGACAAGAGCAAAGAAATACTTCTCTAGTCCATAAACCCTTTATCTTTTACCCTTTTTTTGTTTTTTTGTTGATACAACACATACAGTTCTAATCAAATATGCAGAATTTTCAGTTCTTAACATGATACATTGTTGAATAGCTCAATAAATATGAACATGCAAAGAACTATCAAGATTTAAATTGTCTTCATTATGTTTTTGACTTCCTCACAGAGAGACATTTATAGAGCAAAATGGTCCCGAACAAGCAACAGAGCGAGAGGGCTGAGTAATTGCATAGTTGTACACAACCAGACCTCCTAATGCTAGAAACAGTTGTGGTTTTTTTTCTCTCCTCTGTCAATGGTGGATTTTTTTTTTTTTAAGGACTGCACCATTAAAGAATCTATATCGAATATTAAATAGAAGGATCTGAGTGATTTTTCTCAAAATTCACAAGCTGTTCTATGTTCTTGAATGCAGTAAATTATTTCTTTTTTTTTAATGGCTGTTTTTATCTAGCTGTGATGGATCTCGTGTCTTCTCTCAGACTGACTTGCCTGCTATTTTACATAAAGAACGGCTGTGGCCTCCCAGCAGAAGTTAATCTCTTCCTTTTAATTACAAAGTGTCTTTTTACTGAGTGGAAATGTCTTGAGCTCCTGGAATGTTGTTTTCATCCTCTGTCCTTTCACCCACCCCCACTGCCTCTCGATCTGTCGTTTTTCGCCTCCTATTCCCTCTTTCCTCCAGTGAGGTAGTCCCATAAAACAGGAGTAAGAGGTCGGGTTTCTGGTTTCCTCCAACCCGATGCAGCTTGATAGCTCCGCCTTCCTTGTTTACATTCCTTTGCCCTTACATGGAGATTTCAACCCCTCACCACCCCCACCTGCACTACCTCTGTTCTGTAGAGCTCATCACTCTCACCTTCTCAGCAAAGGAAGAAAACCAGCCAACTTATTGAAACTTTGTTGATATGCCTTCTGCTATTACCCCCTTGTTTAAAGTCATGTTTCTACTCATGCATTTGCATAGCTGGTTCTCCTGTACATATTTGGCTTTACCTCAGACTTTGATCTTCTTAAATCTTTACCTGTGGAGGACAGTTAAGGTAAGATATTTTCCTCTTGAAGTATATCGGTGGTCATGATGGAGTGCATGGTGGGGGGGCGCAGTGTTGAATGTCAGGGGTGACTGAGGGGGGAAAAAATGGCAAGAATCGAGGTGAAGAGGTTAAATGCAGGTTTGCACCTTGCTAAATGGAATGTCATGGGAAGGATTTGTTGGAAATCTCCCAGCAGAGAAGAACTGTGTTGAACTTTTAAGCTTTTTGAGATGGGATGCAGGTTTGTGTGGGGCCCAGGCTATAGATGAAAGAAGTCTTTTTTTTTTAAAGAAAAGAAGGATGGGAATAGAGGAAAGGTTTTAACATGCGTGTCTGGTATTTGTACCTTCTACTCATAGTTAAATTGAAAGCCCAGCACTTTAGGTGATAGCTTTAGACAGAAGCACAGGAGTCAAAGTTCTAGCTCTCTTTTGTTGAGGTAGGGTGAGAGGGACATGGAAACACTATCTTTATTCTTTATTTGCTGTGGTCTTTATTCTGTTGCATTAGAGGATTAAGAAGGTTATTTGGACCTATGCTGTGTGTCAAGGGGTAAGTGAAAGTGAGCCCTGTGGTTCATTGTCAGCAGTGTGCAATAAACAAGCCAAATCCATCTAAATCTTCTGGCAGTATGCAAACAATATATCATATCCATAACCTACACATGAAGAGAAATACTGGCAACTGCTTGTGTTTTGTTGCTACCTGGAAGCTTGGAAGTTTTCTGGTGCAGTGGTAATGGTGGTCTTTGTTTGATTTAAGTTTTTTTCAAAAATGTATCTCAATATGGTGATTCTATTACGGTACCTTGTTTTTCACCATCCAGTGTCTTAGGGAAAGGTAATTAAGCTCTGATATGAGGTTCTGTTAAAAGGTTGGAGGCGGCTTTTACTGTAGGTCATTTTAGGGTTGTGAAATGCAAAGGCAAATTAAAAATATTTACAGCAAAAAATCTATTGGAAAGCAAAGAGAAAAAATAGATTCCTGATATAATTAGCAACAAAAAGAAAAGTACCAATATCATTGAGTTCTGTGCTGTACAGCTGTTTACCATAAAGTGAAAGTCTCACTGTTAGCAACTAAAATGTTTCCTGAGGGGAAATAATCCAATATTTTATCCCAACTGTATGTTTTTTTTTTTAAACTTACATATGTTTGTTTATTTTTGAACACCCATCCTGTTTGTGTTGGTGTTATTGTTACATTGGTCAGTGTTTGGCAGACTTAACTCTTTTGAGATCAGCAAGGAAAGCAGAGATTTTTTTCTGACTAGTTTTGCATTTCCCAAATAAAGGCATAATGGGGGTTCGGGGTGTTGCGTGGCAAGGAGGATGCTACTGTCTATTATCCAACTTACAACTAGACCAGTATTTCCTCAATATAATTTGAAACTAGTTTTTATTTGGTTCCAAAGATCCAGGTGTTTGTTTTGGATTCATATGAGTATGGCTAAATATCTCATAGTCCCACAAAGTTTCTTTGGTATCATTTATTCTAGATAGGCTTTTTTCTAGAACAATAAAAGGTAAAATAAATTGTGGATTTTAAAAGTTTGCGTAACTGCTGCAAATTCTCATGACAGGTTTAAAAGTTTGCGTGAATTCCTGCACACTTTCACACAAGACTGACTTTTATACCTCTGCACTTTCGCGTTAAATATTTCGGGTGTTTTTTTTCCGAGACACGCTTTATACATGAAGCCCCAGAACTGCAAGAGAAAAAAGCAGAAAATGTGTCCCTTCTTTATATGCATACACTTCTCAGGCATTTTTTTTTTTTAGCAAAGTGTATAATGTAAAATTTCCTACTTGGTGTGCAGATATTGCAATGGGTTGTTTAGCCAATCAGATGGTGACGTAGAGTAACATAAGACCCATTCATGTGTTTATTTTGATGGCTTTCAAAACGTTTACGTTTTATCACTTTTCTAAGTCAAATTTTTTAGACTTGAGATAATGGTGATGATAATGATTAGTGGTGGGCATAATTACATTTTTTAATGTAGATTAATCTCACTGTATTCTTGGAATTTATATCAATTAATCTAGATCAGGGGTCTGCAACCTTTCATAACCAAAGAACCATTTTTCCCGGGGTCAGACCAAGTAAATGTTTGGAGAAACAAGGTATGACTTTTTCAAAAAAACAACCCATTTGTTTTTTTACTATTATCTGGTATAAGAAATTAGTCTTCATCTTAAACAACTAACAGTGTTTGTATTTTTAGATTTTAAAATAGTATTAAAACACATAAATTCCAAGCTAATTAAAAGAAAAAATGGCTCTAAAACATATTTCCGGTCCTTTTAATTTCATTCTCTATCCATTGTATAAAAACCATTAAAGCTTTTAAGACTGGTATTTTATCATAGCACATTATTTAGCTCTTTATATACATTTTAATCTTTATAAAGAGCTGTGCAGAGGGTCCAAAGAGCCACATGTGGCTCTGGAGCTGTAGGTTGCAGACCCCTGATCTAGATTAACATTTTCTCATTTGAATTCTGCCATAGGCATTCATGATGTGTTTGTGTGCCACCTCCAGAATATAAAAGAAAAGGTTTCCATTTCTATGTCTGCAAAATTACGCGTGATTCCGTCTTCTTACTGTATTTTTGGCGGCAGTAACAATTGAGCAGAAAAAATTATAGATGTCCCAAAAATCACACACGGCGCCTCAATCAACCTCGCCTCAATCAACCTCTCATCATTCACGGCTTTCTCTGCGGCGTGCTGGGCAAGTATTCTCCTCATGATAGTTCGCCTTGCAGGTAGTTTGTAAGATGGGTGACCTTTTGCCGCCTGGAGAATGAGCTGGGCTGGCATTTTCTGGCTATCCACTGAGCGAGGAGTTTGGTTAGCTTGGCTGATAGAGCTGTGAGTTTAGCTGCATCATGTCAGCATGTCACATTAGATTAATTTAATTTCACAGTACGCCTACACAGGTTGGAAGACAACCTGTGTGGGCGGATGTATATCTCGGATGTATATCGCGAGATATACATCCGCACCAAAATATCAATGTGAAAGTCATCATTAGTATGGACAGCTCCCAACAATAGATTAATGGCGATATTTTTTTTTATCGCTTGGAGAGTCTGGCATCAACGCAGTGTGAAATTCCCGATAATGGCCCACAACTAATCTTTACTAATTACGAGTTAAGATACAGCACTGCCTCCTCATTGGACATTCAGAGTTTTAAACACAGTTTTTCTATTGAATAAGAGGACGACTAACTTTGAAGGCTGAACATAGAAAGGATCAATATTTAAAGAATGTTTCACATCCGTTGGACAGAGAGTCAAATTATTTTCTGAGCACTGTACTTGTCTATGTAAAACATATTTTGGAGAAGAGAGATATTGATTGCTGTTTATCTAAAATCTACTGGTAGTTAGAATAATTTGTTTATTTTTATTGCTTTTATTTTGTTATTTTTTTATGTTATCTTCACTTTCTTAGTGTCAGGAGAAAAAAAGCTAATTCAGATTAATACTTAATCAAAAAGAATAGACATTTATCCACCTCAGACAAGAAATTAAAATTTAATATTTTTTCAACAGATCCTCATTTCAGAGATCCTGAATTATCATGTTGTAGAGTTGATTTGTTGTCTTGAATGTCTGTTTGTTTCGAGTTGAGTCCTGATTTCTGTTGTGTCCTCGTCAGTTATAGAATGACATGAGTGTTCACGTGACAGTCTTGTCTTTGTGAGTCCCCTGTTTGTGTTGTTTCTACGTGTGACCAAATCAGCTAAATGTATGAAGCTGCAGCATTTCTTCTGTTTTGCAGCACCGCGGTCTCAGGGTCTAATCCACGACAGAGCAGCTAGCAAGAGGAGCGTTGTTGGTGGAGAGGCCACTCTGAACAGAGGGACCCGTACAACGTCCACCACCTCAAGCCCTGATCATAGCGACCATGCTCTCTCTGTGAGCAGTGACTCGGGCCTCTCAAGCACATCCCTGTGGACAGAAAGACCCGCACTTGCCACCACCACCACCACAACAACCACAAGCACCATTGTGAAGACTAACCAGGGACCCAGTCCGCAGGAGAAGGTCCAGCTGAAACAACTCCTTAGTGGTTTTGGTCTGGAAGATCCTTCCCTGGATGAGATGGATGATCCGGGCCCTAAGGTAGATTTGAAACAGAAACTTCAACCACAGTTGCACTTAAATGGAGACACCAGACCCAGAGAAAGAGAGACTGACATCCTTGATGATGAAGTTATAACAGGTCACGATCTGCACAGCGTGGATAGCCTAGGAACACTGTCATCCTCGTGCCATAAGAGCAGCCAGAACTCCCTTTTGTCAGATGGCTTTGTTTGTCTTGGATCAGAGGAGCATCAAAACCAGAACCACCTGCCGAGCAGTGCACCCCAACACATGGACGAGTTTGAGAGATCCCATGCTGAGGCTAGAAAAGCCTTTTTGAGCTCAAGAAGCAACTCTGTGGCTTCCAGTAATCCCAGCAGTGCTCCTACACCAAAGCAGCATGTATATAGACAGGGGAGCTACTCAACTCAGTCCTGGGTTCGACAACAACAGATGGTCGCTGCACAGCAATACAACTACATGCCAGAGAATGGAAATGAAACAGAAAGATATTCCGGGAACAAATGTAGGAGTACTTCACCCAAAGAAGGCCTCGCAATCGAATCACAGAACACCATCAGGAACACAAACGTGGACACCGTCAAAAGCTCAGCACCTCACAAACAACAGCCAAACACCAGTAGCAATAAAAACGAAAAGCATGATGACGAGATAAAATCTCTTACAATGGATATTGATAACTCCATTGACCAGCTGAATCAGCTGATCATGGACCTGGATCCCACGTTTGTGCCTAGATCAGGCCTCAGCAACTCTGTCAACAGGGATGGAGGGACACGGTTCAATGGCTTAGAGGGGAAATGTTCAAACAGCATCGATGTCGGATTCAACGGTTGTAACACAGCAACCCTAAAAAGCACCCATCAGACAGGTAAGATAGTCAGCCTAGTTATTCTTGAGTGTTATCATCAAAAGAAATATCTATCTATCCATCCATCCATACATCAAAATCTATCCAATATCATTGATTTATCCATCTTTGTCCATCCCTTGATCTGTCCACTACACCTTTCCATTCATCATTTCTTTATCCCTTCTTGGTTCACTGTTCATTCATGCCTCATTTTGTTTTAATCCATAAACCATTCCAGTGTCTCTCATCCCAACATTCATCAACACTTCATTTGTCAGCAAGCCTTACTTAGATTATAGAAGGAAATGGATTAAAAAAATGTTTCAATGACTCAGTCTTCTAGTCATTCATCTATTTTTTATCCTCTCCCATTTGGACCATTTTTTTCCCTCCCTCCCTCCCACCCAGTTTGTCTATATGCAGGTTCAATCTAAACCTAACCAATGTAAATTAACTCTCAAGTTTTTTCATTAATATTAAACATGGTCTGAAAGGCATTATAAATGAAATCTGATTATTAAAATGAATATTTTTCAGAGAAAGTTATGTTAGAACTCTGTGTAAAAGAAACTGAAATAATGCTAATACTGTAGTTGGTTAATAGGCTCCAGTAAGAGGTGGAGTATCACATTACTGGTTCTCCCCCCTTTCCCCCCAGCATGTTTTCTGGGCAGAAATGACAAGGTTCCCGCCAGAAATTCTAATTTTGTTTTCCAAAGAAAGAGTTCTGTCCAAACTTGTATGTGTAGGTGTGTTTGTAGGATCAATGAGGTACACGGAGAAAAGAAGACCAACTTTTTCAGGCTTGGTAACTTTTCTGACTCTTGAATTTTGATTCTAGAGACTAAATATTTGCTTTGGTATTGACTGACAGATCCATTTTTATTCAGCTTGAAGACTTTGGTGTCCTCGAAAGTTACTATATTTAGATGAACTGTGGTCATGCATCCCAAGCCCTCACGTATCCAAAGAATACGCTCTTTCTTTATCGCCTCACTAAGTTCTATCACAGAACATTTCACATTTTATGATTTCATCAAGTGCACTTTATATCTTTCTGTGTTACACAGATTATTCCCTTTTTGGATCAGATTAAACTGTTCTGTGCTGCTTACTTAAGAAGGTGCAGTCAAAGTGAAACTAAGCCATGCAGGGAAAACATGGAAAGGTGTGTAGCTTCATGAATCATAGCTTGCAGTCGCAGAAAGAGGGAGGAAAGCAATGTACGGGATTTAGGAATTTCCAAAGAAGGAACAAGTGTACCCCCAGGCACACCTTTTCCATTTGATTCCAAATACTTGCCTGTCAGTGCGTATCAACACAGACGCTTCATTTACAAGAAAAGCTGTAGGAAGATAAGTGTTGGCTTTGGTTGCTCTTTAGAAATGTAACTCATGAATAGTGTTTGCAGAAAAAAGAAGACTTCTTTCTGCTAAAACAGAAGTTGGTTAATAATACATATATACATAATAAAGTTAATAATTTAAAGTAAAAAAAAAATGATAAAGTTACCTATTCTTTTGTTATTGTTTCTTTTCTGTTGTTTTCTACTAGCATGAATTAAAAAAATGAACTAAGCTCATTTAACTATCCTGCTTTACAGCAAATGTCTACACCTTTAATGCAGGTATTACTGTGCCTATTGGAGTGAGTGGAGAGTTTACTCTGTGGTATTTTGGCAAAGCTGCTGATTATCTTGCAGGTCGATCATGCTACAGCTTGTTTTGTCTTTTCATGCGTCTCAGGCTCTGTGCAAACACCTCACTAATATCAGTGATGCCACAAATTAAGCATTGAGCAGTCCTATTGTACAGAGTTGGTACCAGAAGGTAGAAGGTTTTAGTATTTATTTTCTCTTACACAATGAGTGCTGTGCAGTATTCTATTGATTAACCTTGGTATAGAATAGACCATATTGGAGTTTGTAGGAGTTTAACATACAAGCCTCCGTTTAAAATGTCTCTGTAACAATTTGTGGAAAATAGATACAATACCATAAACCGCAGTCAGACGTTATATGCTAGTAGTTGGTTCTAGTTGGAAACTTATGACACAGTAATGGTCTATTTTATTATAAACAGGCGTTCAGTTGCTTATTAACACTGCAATTAAATCAATCAATTAGATCTCTGTAACCCAATACATTTCAGTATCGAGGTATGGCAAAGAGAAATTAAAGTATTTTAAACAGATCATTAGATTGTAAAAAAATTGAAATATACTCTATTGCACACCTCCGCCAAGCAGCAAACTTTGCCCCAAATTGTGTCTTACACAGATGGCTAAAATAACACATGATCTGGATCATTAATAAATGTAAATATATTTAGGCACACATGAGGCACAGCTGGTAAAAAATGTCCTTAAAATATGTTTGGAATTTTTAAATTGATCCTGCTAACAAACCAACAACGTTACCTTTTCTTTCTATAGTCTGTAGTAAAATACCTGCAGATTTTTGAGTCTGATAATGAGCCTGTTAGTAGTCAATGCTGCCACTCTGGTTTATTGGGGAACTGATTGTTCTGCCAAATATCCCAATCTCACAATGTTAGAGAATGTTTAAAAAAAAAATCTGAATCCAGATTAGGATCTGGATCATCACCAATATTCAATGGATTGTTCCTTGGCCTGAAGGACACCTCTGATAAACAAAATTATTAAAATGTCCTTAATTTTTCTATATATCCCGTACACTGACAGACAAACAAACAAACACGAAAACTCCCCTAAAACATAACCTACTTGGCAGAGGTAAAAAGCGTATTTAGGTTGTTTTTAATGTGAAAAGCTGTTAAATCTGATTGGGCAGTTCTGAATATTTCTGAAACTGCTGATCTGCCATGCTACCATTCCCCATGTAAATGTCCTTAAAAAGAGAATGTAACCATTGAGTGAAAGTTGTGTAGAACTTTTTTTTTCATGCAGAGGTCCCTGTAGACTCAGCAGACAGGTAGACTGGTGGTGAAGCAGAAGACCACCCTAGCTGAGAACAGAAAACTGAAGCTATCATTTTCACAGGGCTTCAAAATAGAACAATAACAAATTACAAAACCTTGCCGTGTCAGATTGAAGTGTTTTTTGTTTGTTTTTTGTAGCAATTAATGTTGGTGATGCTAGTGTGAGGCTGTTGGTCACATTTTGACACCCATGTTCCAAATGATAATTTTTAAATGCCAGAGCCCACCTACGTAGCCCAAAGCCCATCCATGTCTGTCCTTTTGAGTACAGTGTATCCATCCTATGGCTTCCTCTAAACCGGAGGTCTTCAACAGGGGGTCCACGGAGGTACTGTATGGGGGTCCTGAAAGTTTTGGTTCATTAGACTTTTTTTTTTATATTCCCCAGTGCAATTTTTTTCCACTAATTGAAATGTCTTTACACATTAACATGAATTCAAAACACTGTAGTAAACAGATAAATGAAGGCAGAAGATGGCTTTCAGTCATCAATGCACACATTCAGCGACACACAGGAGCTCTTTCAAGCTGGGCACCGTTTCATTCACAGCACCTGTCCCGTCAACCAGGAATCAGATTCAGAAATACTTTAATAATCCCAGGGAGAAATTACTTCCGTTATGTTACTCCATCTGTAATAGAGTGAACAGTTTGATATGACACAAATTCATACAATATAAATAATTAGGGGGTCCCCACTCCGTCTCGCCATCAGTTTTGGGGTCCTTGTCCTGGAAAACGTTGAAGAAAGTAATCCTGCATTATGTCTTAAAACTTAAACAATCTCAAACTGCGTTCCGAAATGGAACAATGATCCCACTATGCTTTTGGGCTGAAATAATTATTCAAATGAACCGTGATTTCTTTTTTTGGTAAAACAAAACTGAATCCTAAAATGCCATTTACTGAAAGAACAGTAGCTAAGCCAAAAATGTACAGACATATGTAAATTTTTCCTTTGAAGATAAAAACTCTTTGACTTCGAATTAGAGATGCATTGATACCTGGATTGGATATCTGCTCCGATATTAATTGAAAATTTAAAATACATTTATCTCTATGTTATTTGTTAATTTATCAATGCGTCAAGGCTAAACCATTTACTCACATGGCAAGATATAATGGTCATCAATTCTACAGTGAAGTCGTGTCTGTATCGTATATTGGCCGATACGCTCAGCTATTGGATTAAATCGGTAAAAACAGAATCGGTGCACTCCTAGTTTGTAATTGCTTTTGAATTTTTGCTTTTACATGTTTTAGAGGTATTTTTTAAAGCTAAAATACTTGTTTATTAAGGTACGTTGATTGACACAGAGAGTCTGTTTAGATTTACCGATTATTGTAAAAAAAATTACATGATAATGATGATATTGATAGCAATCGGAAAAAACAGAGATATTGAAAACCTAACACAAAACATTTTAAAAGATGAAAAAGGGTGAGCAAAGTATTAGATAACAGAGCAGCTAATCGTTTTTCAAAGAGCAGATGTACTAAATCCTGTATCTCTACAACAAACTGTAAACTTTCCTATGATACATCAGGTATCCCACATTGAAAAAAGAATACAGCCATGGAGTTAAGTGATCTAAAGGGGGGGAAATATTTTGGAAAGAACACATTTGCACAGTGATTGCAAAAGCTGATGTTATTTGAGCCTGAAGAAAATATTTTGAGAGAAAAGATTGTCAGTGGATAAAAAGATGAATTGACATTTGGCAAATGATTTACAAGGGTACAAAAGCTCTCTGAAAAATATGTTTTTATTCTTTGCTCTTGATTCAGGATTTTTTTGGCAGGATCATGGGCAGTCCTGTGTTAATATTGAGCAGTCTCAACAGAACTGTCAGCTGAGCGGTGGTATTAAGTGCGATAGAGATGAGCAGCGCTTTACCTGGAAATGTGGACGAGAGCTTATGGCTGAGCTGATAGGCGGAGATAAAAGACTGTTGTGAAGCTTTTTTTTCAGTCTTGAATAAAATCAGTTTTTGCTATCAGGGTAAAAAATTGTTTTCTGTAAAATATTTATTTTACATTATAAAATAATTTTCCTCTTTCAGATCACCATCTTTAATTTAATAAAAATAACATAAAAATAACTCCATATACAGCAAAATTAAAGCTTATGCTGAAATCATAGCATATTTGCTATGTATTTCTGGTTCTATCATGCAGCTGTTGAAGCAAAATGAAAAGAATAATGTAAAACAGTCTAATATGTACTAGAAAAAATGATCTTTGGTGCTCAGAGGTCAGAGCTCAGTTTGAGGGTGCAAATTAACACTCTGGTAATACCTCTCACAAGAGTCACACTTCAAGCACACGCAAAGTCCACTACCTGCTCTCCATTAGCTCACCGTTGGACTTGACCTTAAAGGATTACAGGTGTTTAACTTGTGATTTGTAGCAGTCGCTTTAGATTAAAATAAGTTTGTTTGAAATTAGCAAGTTTGACACATTTTGTTTTTGAAAAATACACTCCTACCCCCTTTCAATCAAGCAACGCACACAGGCTGCGTCCGTATGACGTCACTCACAAGCAATGGACTTAGCATTCCTTTGTAAACTATTTCTATCGGGAGCAGCAATGTGTCTACTAATCAAAGCTGGAATTCAGTAATCTATTCTGTTTTGGCTTGATCTGGCTAATGTGGGTTGATATAACCAACATCTTCTTGAGCTTTTAATCTTTGGTTGATTTTTGTAATTTTACTCTGAAGAGATTCATGTTTTTTTTTTACACATGACATGTTTCTTAGACTTAGACAGATTTATTCTGTCATTTTGTATACACAAAAAGAAATTTTGTTAAGAACAGCTCTCTAGACAATTACATTTTTTTGAAAGTGCAGCCTTGAGAATAGTAAAAATACATAAAAACAGTAATATAAACATGACAATATTTACAGTTCTATCATTTCAGTTTTTGAAATAATAAAATATAATAAATATAAAATATAATAACTATTTTTTATTGAAATATATATATATATATATATATATATATATATATATATATATATATAAAATGAAATATTTATTAGATATTATGAATGATTGTGAGAAATCCTCATGGTGGTTATATTTGTATGATAGCTGTTGGCACCCTCAGGCCCTCTTGAAATTATGAGTAAAACTTTTTAGCGTCCAAACTATGTTTTTAAGATTTTACGTTAGACTTCATATATAGGATTCATCAACTTCTTCTTTCTTTCTGCTTCTGTGTATTCAGCTGCCCAGTCAAACGACAGGGGAGGTGGTGTCACGCGGAGTTTGAGTTACCAAGGAAAGGATGTAATGGATCACTCAGGCTTTTCAGGGTGGAATGACCCAGAGGAGTACAAAAGCCAGCAGACATATCCTCCATGCGTCTCCCATTTTCAAGTAAGTCTAGGCACATGCAAACTGCTATTTTCAAAATCATGTTTTTTTGTTTGTTTGTTTGTTTTCCCCTTTTTACATTTCCTTTGTGATGTGCAAATGAGTGTTTCAAGCACCATCATTGTCAAACAACAACCTGTGAAAACATATTTGAATTTTAAATTCCTAAAACTTTCTGTTAAGTGCTAAAAGTTTATTAACAAAATCAGTTCAATTTCAAGTTCAACATATTTTTGTTTTAAAAGTTAACCAAGCTAGTGAGATTTAAATAAAATTACTATGAAAAATGTAAAGTATTTCTGATTCTGATTCTGATTCTGTTTGATTAAAGAACGACTAAACAGCTAATGGTCTATAATAGACTAATAATAATTAATAGTAAAAATAATTAACATATTGAAAGAAGAAGGAAAAAATAAAAATGGTTAAAACACATTATTAACATAATGATGTACCAGTTTAGTGTGTATTTTATGTTAGAGAGAAGAAGGTTATCGTGAAGGATTTTTAATGAAGTTAAATCAGCCTTACAACTAACAGAATAACTGGAATGTGTTAAAAACTGATTCACAGCGCAAATCAAAGAGGTAAGTAAAACATTTTGGAAAACGACTAAGAATGATTTTACAAAATCAGAATCAGGAAATCAGAACCATTTAGATGACTGAATCCTAACTTTACATAATTATTTCTAATTTCATAGTAGAACAGGGATAAAACTCAAGACAAATCAGGGATGAAAACTTTATTTGTCTTTATCAGAAGACCAATTAGCCTGATTGATGGGCGGATGTGTCTGAGAGTTCCTCTGGGTTTCTACTTGGTAGCTAAAAAAGCTGGTATCCTATTTAGCTCATGAGTTTCAAAAAGCACCAATAACAATAATAATAATTGAACTTTTGAGAAATTTACATCTGCATTTAACCCATCGCCTTGGGGACCAATGGGCTGCCGTTGCGAAGCGCCCGAGGAGCAATTTGGGTTAAAGGGTCTTGCTCAGAGACCCAAAGCGGCAGTCTGTGGGAGTTGGGCTCAAACTCAGAACATCAGGATTCAAAGCTCTCTGCCCTAACCACTAGGCCACCACTCCCACTCCACTAATGCGACTGTTAATGACTATGAGAAAGCTAGTGGTCTGTAATCTCATTATTTCAGAGCAAACACGTCTTTAGCATAGGTGTGGAAGCAGGGACACATCTAAAAGGTGCAGCACAAGGGACATTGAGGAGTCTTAAAGAACCTTGCTCTACAGTAGCTTCTATCTAACCTGTTGGGCTAGATTGCGATTGCCTGTTTTTGCCATGCCTTGTGCTTCTCCTTTTTTCCGCTGTTCTGATGAAGATTAGGAATTCCAATGGGCAGGGAAGTTGGCAGGTCTGAAGATATTGATTTAAGTTAGGTAGTGTAGCTGCGAGGGCATCCCTGTATTTTCCTGCATGATACAAAGCAATTTAAAGATTCTGCTTCCTGCAAAACTTGAAGTGAAAAAGTTGCAGTTTTTCTCTACGGTTGTCTACAGCAGTCTATTTTTTATTTTTTGCTGACAGTCTTAAAACAAAAGTCTGTGATTCTGTGGCCATCTATACATCACATTCCATTCCATGTTCATATTATCTCATTGTTCTAAGGCACAACATAAGATTTCTTTCCACACTCTGTCTGTTACAGCACTCTAAATTGTGTAGAAGTGATGGTACCAGCTATAAATCCCGGGGCCCTGACATTACCAACGAAATAGAGTCAGGACCTGACATGACTCCACCCACCCCTGCATTTCCCATCTCACCGCCAACACCTTATGGTAAATATTGTAACTGTCCTTTTAATAGACATGTCTTCTGTTTATGCATAATTGCTGTCATGCCCTTTCTTTGTATTTTTAGTGTCCGATTTCCCTGAACTTAGGAACACTCCATCTCCCAACATGCAGTCATTCAGAGGCTTCAGAACAAATCAAGGTAGGCCCAGAGATGTGCAGTTTGTTTTAAAAGATATCAGTTAGACTCTTTCAAGTTTTAAAAATGTTTAGACGTTTAAAGATGTTGATGTTTCTATGAGGTTCACAACATGTCATCTCAAGGCCCTTTACAGAGAAAATACAAGGCCAACAATTGGTTAGGAAAAGCAGTTGATTGCATCCAGTCGTTGATGCTCCTCCTGAAGAAGCTTGTGGCTATGATTTTATGATTGCATTTTGTTGTTGACTATTGAGCAACCCCTCACACCCAGCATGCATGTGGGGACAGTGTAGAGGAAAACTCCCTTTTTACATGAAGAAACCTCTAGCAGAACCAGACTCTAGATTAAGATCCCTTATTTTTGCCAGGACTTGTGCTTCTCTTTTCCCTGTTTTGATGAAGGTGAGGAATTCCAATGGGCAGGGAAGTTGGCAGGTCTCAAGGTATTGATCTAAGGTTGACAGTGTAGCTGTGAGGGCATCCCTGTATTCTCAGTTCAATCCAACTGCAGGCCATTGGGGAGATCAGAATTTTACTGTGCTGGTGCTCATGGGAAATGCTGTCTTCCTTCAGCCAAAACAGTACAGCTTTGTCCACTGGGGGGAGCCAAAATCGACCAAAACTGAAAGCTCTATAGAGCTGCTTTAAGTATTACAGTGGTTTAGGGGAACGCTAATAAATAAAAACGTGTAAAACATCAGATATGTTTATATGGACATATGGAATTGGAATTAACAACTGATCGGACTAAAAATGCGTCATATAAACATGATGGTCAATTTTCGGATTGGATTTAGCAGGATTGGAATGAAACTGTAATCCCACTGTAAGAGATTGGTTTACGCCAATTGACAGTCCAATGGGCATGCATGTAAATGCTGTCAGGAGGATCAAGTAATTCTGAATGATGTAAACTGACCTAAATCCAATTTATACTTCTGACGCATAGCCTCTGCAACATCAAATCTGTCTCTGTGCTTGACCATGCCCCCCACGCAAAGGTTCTGCAACCGTCATTGCGCACCTCAAAAAAATCCTGACTAAGCATTGGACGATAGCAAACCTGCGCAGACCTAAAGCGGAAGTGCGCAGACAAAAGCAGCTGTGATTGGTCCTTGATATGCCTTTCCGCCTGTCTGTGTGGTCGCCCTTCTCAATTCAGTGCGCCATTTTTAAAAACTGAGGAACAACTACAATGGACAACTATGAGGAAAGGGTAATCTGTCCTTTTGCCAACTCCATTAACAGAACCTGTTCCCCTTCTATGTCTAGCAACTCTAAATCCATCTCAATGACAGTGATATCTTGCAGACGCGCAGTTGTTGTTTTGGAAGATAAACACTCCCACCTGCGGTGCCGAAGTTCTCGTGACCATCCGCCAAAGTTCTCACGGGTTCTCAAATAGGCTCCCCCTTGCGCGCCTCACTGCTGTGCGTCCCTAGAAATTCCAGACCGACTGTGCAGAAGCATAACAGCAAAACAGGTTTGCGACCAAACCAGAGCGACATTTGATTTGTGTGATTGCAGAAGTATAATCTGCCCTTAAGCTGATCCCCATGTCAACATGAAGCAGTTCCTCTTTGAATGGCTAGATACTATCAGATTACAATGATTTGCATAATCAGTCTCTCATGTCCATATAAACTGTACGATCTGATTACATTTTTTTTTGTTTTTTATTTCAACACATTCCAATGCAGTCAGGAAATATTTGTGCATGTAAACATAGCTATCCACTCACAAGTAGGTTCTACACAGGAAGGTCATTAGTGATGCACCATTCCTACGTAACTCTAATACAAGCATGTATTGTCAGCTGTCAATTCTGTTGAGACTAGGCAATAAATCGAGAGAAAAATCCTGAATCAAGATCAAGGGTTTCGAGAGAGAAATCTATTTTTGAGAACAAATTCACTCGGCTTCAAAATAAACCTATATTTGAGAGTAAAAATATAGTTTTTGAGAGAGCTTGTTTACCCTCAGAAATCATTTTCCAAATGTCAATTTACCTTTTGTTTATCCATACATTCATCTTCTCTTATTTAGTCAGGGTCTTGTCGGGGCCTGTGTCTGTCTCAGTTTATGGGCAGGTTGTCAGTCTGTCTCAGGGAAACACAGAGAGACAATCACACAAGGAAAATTTGGAGATGTCAATTAATCTGACAGTCTTGTTTTGGGACTGTAGGAGGAAGCCAGATTACCCAGAGAGAACCCACGCATGCTCAGGGAGAACATGCTAACTCAATGCAGAAAGACCCCAAACCAGGAATTGAACCCATAACCTTCTACCTCTGTCATGTCTGACTGTTATTGCGACTGGACTATTTGGATTCCCCCTTTTTCCCAGAAAAATTCCCACATTGTTGTTTCTGAATTCTTCAAGAGGGTTTTCTCATATTTATTTATTTATTTTTTTATCTTCTTTTATCATCAGAGTGGAAACAATCTTTTTGCATCAGTTGAGGGAGATTCCCCAAACAAATTCCTGCACCCACAGGAATGATTGTGTGGTTTTGTTTTGACTAAAATAACATTTTTATAACTATCTGCATTGTTTTTGGGGCTGAGGTCTTTTTCTAGGATGTACACCCTGTGATTATATATGTTGCTGAGCTTTATGATTTTACACTGCCTGGTGTTTAGAGTATGTTCTCTCATTTTCCAATCAGTTACCTCTTTCTTTTTAATTGATCTACTAAGATATACAGTTTGTCTAAAGGTTGTGGGGTTTGGATGGGGGTCTGTGCCCCTGATGTGTCGCAGACAATACTGCTTTCAGTTAATCTCCATCTGCATGGTTGCCAAGCTGGATGGAATGTAACAGATCAACTTTTCTTCCTCCATATAAAGTCCATGTGTATATGTGTGTAAACACAGGGGAAACGGGGGACATGGTGGAAACAGAGACCCCTTTGGTGTTGAATCTGATTTCTTTAAAGCTTTAAAGTGTGAGAGAGAAAGAGACTCAGTTGGAATATAAGTATATGCCAGTTGCCCAGATTATGGTTTACTTAAAGAAAGCTTTAAGATAATTATGGTAGGAGTTTTTCTTTAATTTTGAGTTTTATTTTGGGCCCTATTTGTTGACTTAATGGGTTGTGGGAGAGATAATCAGTAGTTGGCTTTATAGATAGATAGATAGATAGATAGATAGATAGATAGATAGATAGATAGATAGATAGATAGATAGATAGATAGATAGATAGATAGATA